TCTCAGTTTCCCAAGGTCTTTGACTTCAAACTCAGAGGCAAGTCGTGTTTGCAGAATCTGTCTCTCCACAAAATCATCACCTGTGATAATAATATCATCAACATATACAAGGAGCACAGTAAGCTTTGCTTGAAAAAAAGAGTGTGATCTCCTTGACTTTGTTTATATCCTAAGGTTATCATAACCTTAGTAAACTTTCCAAACCAGGCACGAGGTGACTGCTTCAATCCATACAAGGCCTTTTTTTAATTTACAAACTTTATTTTCTCCTTTCACAGAATCAAAACCAGACGGAATTTCCATGTTGACTTCTTCTTCTAACTCACCATTGAGGAAAGCATTCTTCACATCAAATTGGTTTATATCCCAATTGTAATGGGCAGCAAGGGATAACAAAACTCTCACCGTCATCTTTGCAACTGGAGTAAATGTTTCTTCATAATCAATGCCATAGGTTTGAGAGTAACCTTTGGCAACTAATCGAGCTTTGTATCTCTCAAGAGTTCCATCAGAATTATATTTCAGGGCATAAACCCATCTGCACCCTACTGCTTTCTTTCCAGTAGGTCTATCAATAACCTCCCATGTTTTATTTTTCTCCAATGCATTCATCTCCTCTTGCATGGCTTGAGCCCAATTCCCATTTTTCAAGGCTTCATGTACTGATTTTGGGATTGCAATAGAGTCTAGTGCTGAAACAAAGCTTTTGTGCTGCACAGACAGATTAGCAGAGGAAACAAAATGGGAGATAGGGTATTGAGTACAAGAGAAACAAGATTTCTTGGGACATGATCTTTTCCTTTTCTAAGAGCAATGGGTAAATCATCAGAATCAGTAGTAATGGGTAAGTCATCAGAAGTATCATGATCAGAAATATGAGATTCAGGACTTACCAGTGGTTCAGACGATTGAGGTTGCTGCTGAGGCAATGTGGGTTGTGTATCAGTCATAGGAGGATCAGTCACAGGAGGATCAGACATAGACACATTGGGAACATGAACAAGAGAAAGAGACACTGACTCAGGTGAAGGAGTAGACACTGAAGATTCAAATTCAAAGAAGGAAGGTGATGAGTCTTTTAGTGAATTATTCTCCCCCTGAAGATGAGGACCTTGGAAAAAGGACTCAGATTCCTGAAATGTAACATCCATAGAAACAAAAAATTTCCGACTACCAGGGTGATAACACTTGTAGCCCTTCTTATCAGGAGCATATCCAAGGAAGACACATTTAAGAGCCCTAGGATCCAACTTACTGCGATGCTGTTTATGAATATGAACAAAGACAACACACCCAAACACTCGAGGAGGAAGACTTTGCAAAGTTGAACAGAAGGAAAAAAAGAAGTCATGGAGTGAATAGGACTTACATGATCGAGAACTCGAGTGGGTAGACGGTTGATCAAGAACGCTGCAGTAAGAATGGCATCTCCCCAATAGCATTTGGGTACATGTGTTTGAAACAGTAAGGCACGAGCAACTTCAAGAAGATGACGATTTTTTCTTTCAGCAACCCCATTTTGTTGAGGGGTGTCTACACAAATAAGTTCATGAATCATACCTTGATTTCGTATAAATTGGGAAAAACTGTGATTAACATATTCAGTACCATTATCTGTTCTTAGTCTCTTGATTTTTCTACCAAATTGGGTCTCAACCATTTTATAAAATTGAAAGAACAGATATGGTACCTCAGACTTTTCATGCATTAAGTAAACCCAAGTTACACGAGTGCAATCATCAATAAAAGAAACAAACCATCTATTTCCAGAAGCATGAGGGACTTTAGAAGGACCCCAAACATCAGAATGAATAAGATCAAAAGGTTCAACACTCTTAGTACTACTAGAAGGAAAAGACACACGATGATGCTTAGCAAACTCACAAACATCACTTTTCATGCATTAAGTAAACCCAAGTTACACGAGTGCAATCATCAATAAAAGAAACAAATCATCTATTTCCAGAAGCATGAGGGACTTTAGAAGGACCCCAAACATCAGAATGAATAAGATCAAAAGGTTCAACACTCTTAGTACTACTAGAAGGAAAAGACACACGATGATGCTTAGCAAACTCACAAACATCACAATGAAAAGACTCAACAGGCTTAGATAAAAACAATGACGGAAATAAAGACTTGAGTAAACCAAATGGAGGGTGTCCCAAGCGCTTATGATGAAGCCAAATCAAAGAATCAGCAGTTGATTGACCATGAGACATCAAGATGTGATCTGTTATTTTATTTGCGGGGAGATTGTGACACCAGATAGTACAACCCACCTTGCTCTTTAGCACTACCAATCGTCTTCCCCGTGGCGAGATCCTGAAAAACACAATGAGTAGGGAAGAAGGTTACAGTACAATTCAGATCTTTTGTAATTTTATGAATAGAAAGAAGATTCGTGGAGAGTTTAGGAACATGAAGAGCATCTTTAAGATGTAAGGACTGCTGTAAGTTTATGTCACCAGAACCCGCAACTGATGTATGTGAGCCATCAGCTATGGCTATAGTATGAGTTCCAATGGTAGGATGATAAGAAGCAAAGGAGTCAGCACAACAAGCCATATGATCAGTAGCACCAGAATCAACAACCCAGGAATGTTTAAAATCATTACATGAAGAAAAGGAAAGAATGAGTTTTGGGACTCATACCAGTCAAAGCCAAAGCACTAGTATCAGATGGCTTACTCAGATAATCAAGGATGGTTCGGAGCCGTTCTAACTCATCTAGACGAAATGCAGGTTGGGTCTCATTAGGTGCAGGAGTTATTCCAAAGGAAGTAAAATGCGCTTGACCACGCATCCTTGCCATCTTTTCTAAGATAGTTTGCTTTCCATGGAAGCGAAAGCATAAATCCTTGATATGACCTGTTCTTTAACAATAAGAACACCATTGATCATCTCTCTTAGGTTTAGAAGATGCACCATCATAAAACTTTGTAAAGGAACTCCTTTGAGAAGAGGCCATACTGCACAAAAAGCAGTCAACGAAAAAAGACTCTAAGAAGCCAAAAAATTCAAAAAAAATACCAAACGATGTCCGATCTAAGAAAACAACACAGATCCAGAAAGAGAACAAGGAGACGAGAAGAATGGTGGTGGTCCGGTCCAGAAACACCGTCGGACGCGCCTCCACGCGCTGGAGAAAGCAGCTGCGCGTGGGCTTCACTCTCGGACAAAGAGGCGGTGCGTGAGAGCGCGTGGCAAGGCTTCTCCGGCTGAAATTTTTCCGATGTGGTCGTCTGGTGAGCGCGCATCTGTCTGTGGGTGGTTGCGGTTGAAAAGTCACCGGAAAGGGTTCTAAACGATGAAGACAGAACTGGTTGAAGGCAGTCGGAGGTGTTTGGGTCGTTTGTCGCGGAGGAACGTTGCGTGGAATGATAGAACGAAAAAAAAAGAAGGTCAACAGTGGTCCCCTTGGTCCAAAAGGTCTTCGAAAAAAAAATTCCGGTGGCGGCTGATGGCGGCAAGAGGCAAAGAAATTAGGGTTTTGTAAAAAAAAAGACAATAGGCGCGGAAGCAGGTCCCTCAGGATCGAGAGCTCTGATACCAACTTAAAAAAAGGTTATGAAATATTATTGATTTGTATTTGAATCTGTACATAGGGGTCTCTATTTATAGAGACTTCTTGACTTAATTTTGACCTAATGGGCTTGACCCAATATACAAGTAACGGACTAAATAAATACAAATAAATGACTACATAATTACTAATAAATGACTACATAATTACTATTTACAATAATTATAAATCGTTTGATGAAGACTGTTCACTTTCTGCCGGTTAAGGCAAATTTCAATACGAAAACATTGGCATAGACATATGTTAAAGAAATTATTAAGCTAAATGATATTCCAAAAAATATCATTAGAGACCCAAAATTTACCTCTTGAGCCTTGCTTCGATGGTAGGGATTACACATGTGAGAAGAACAAAAATAAACAGAAAACTCAACTCTCACATTAATGAGGAAAATCCTGTACTTACAAATAAATTAATAATGACGAACATATAAACCAATACTTTTAAATTAAAATGTAATCTCAAGCATGGCTTTACTCATGAAGTAATCCTTACCCGTCAACCTATTAGAGCAAGACACGAATGAATCAATAGATTAATCTACTAGACCGTTTAATATCCATCAAAAATAAAATAAAAAAAGAATGAAAATTTTCCTTATTAAAAAAATGAACATTTTAAAAGGATGAAAAAAAATTAAAATTCAAAATACCGTTTCTGTTTTAGAAAGTACTTCATTTTGAGTGATTCAATTTCTTTCTTTTATATTGATCCTGAATAGTGTTATATAGATATGTAAAAAAATTTAAAAAAAAAATCAAACAAATAAAAATTGAGTAAAACACTCGTAAAACAAATTTTCCAAGTGAGAGATTATTGATTTCAACTTTTTCTTTTCATACAAGTGAATATGATTTCCAAATTATGCTTAAATTGCTTAATTAATTAGGCATATCTAAATTAGACTATTGACTCATGAATTTTATTATTATTTTTTTTAAATGACAAGCATCTAAATACCTCTTCCTGATTTGATTCTTGAATTAATTTGATTTTGAGTGGCTAATTTATTTAGGAGAGTTAAAGAAACGATTTATACTGTATAAGATGAAAAATGAGTTTAAAAAAGGTTTTTTATAGTATAATTTTTTTTCAACATACAGTATAAATGTTACACTATGTCAATCTAAATGGAATGTTGTGTTTTTAGACAAATAAAGAATAAAATAAAATAAAATAAAATAACTCAGGATGTAGCAATGAGCAGCACCAGCGCGGAGGCGTTAACTTTCAATATAAAACAAATAGCTTTTGCTCTTCTCACATCCTTCACGTTTCAGTGTTAGGAACATCCTTCCCTCTCTACAAAGAGAAGCCCAAGCCTGGAAATTCAAAGATCAAACAAAAACTACAGTACATGTTCTTTACATTATTCAAATAATAATGCATTATTTATTCACATAAATCCTCCTCTATACATGATAAACATATATTATAAAGCATATGTATATTGACCGGTTCCCTTTTTAAAGTTGGTAAAGGTTAATTAACCTAGCTAACAAAATAAAATAAAATAAAAAACAAAACAAAACAGATACAACCGAAGGAAAAAAAAATGTACCTAACAAGTGGAAAATGAGTGACAAAGAAATTAACTAAACCCTCTCTGTCTCTCTCTTTTTTAATTTTTTTTTTTTCCCTTCTTCCCTGTGTGTCTCTACCCATTAGTGTTATAGAATAACATAACTTGTTTACAAAGTGGCATAAGGAACATGTCGTGGAAGTCTGAATCGGACCTGTGACGCCGGCGACCGCACCGCCACGCCGTGCCAGCAGATGCCACCCTTGCACATCTCCTGGGTATGCAGCTGATAATGATCGCCGGCGAATGCATACATGGCCTTACGAGACACGTCCCACGTCAACGTTGCCACCAGAATTACCACCACCACGGTGGTGGACACAATCAGCATAAACCCACCGCTAAAGCTTCGCCCACACGCAACTCCATATGCCTTTATACACGCGATTACTGCCACGTAGATCGTGGTAAAGTTGCTCACCACTATATCAGAAATAGCCATAGAAGAAGAAGAAGAAAAAGAAACAGAGATCGAGAAAAAGAGAAAGTGGTAGGGTTCTAGATGTGGATGAGGATGTAGTTTTATTTCGTGTGTATTCTTGGGAATGTTCAGGGGTTTTAATTATGCGAGTCTCAATATCTGAAATTACGAAAATGGGTCCCACTCTTTTTTTTTTTATCGAATTTCTGAAATATCAGGGAATTGATTACCACATCGTGCTTATCTTCTTTGCTCCTTTTTACGAATGAATCTTTAATGCGCATTGAATTTGTTCATTCATTTTATGATATATGGATAAAAAAATTTATATTATTTAAAAAAATTGATTACTTGATAATTTTTGTTTATATGTCACAATATAATCGGATAAATACACTGAATTTTCTGTACAAGATTTATTCCCTTTTTACTTCGAAAACAAGGGGAATTGAACCAAATCCACCTTGTTATATTACGCAACCGCCAAATTTCTTAACTCCATCTATAAAACACCACGTGTCTCTTGTATTTTTTCTACTTTGCATTTTGCCTTGCTTCCACCGTTTCCTTTTTTTTTTCTATATTCTGAATTTTCGTCCTGTGGTAGAAACATATTTTAAGAAGACAAAAAATGCGTGGTTGTGTCCTTTTTAGGCACGTTGGAACCGAGTCCCACCGATACACCAGACAGCGACAGGTAGGCGTGGTATTATTTACCGGGAATGATGTAGCATTAATTCACTATTCACTGCTCCCCGTTTTGGTGGTGATTCGGAGTGCACTGTCCGTGGCTAATTGTGAACCACCTTCCCATACTTAATGATGAGTTATGACGATGATGTCTCCTCTGATAAATATTTAATATGATTCAGGACTACCAAATCTTTTGATACTTTTTCTCAAATCATTAATTTTTTTTTTTTTATCTTTATTATTATTTGTTTTTTAATTTTATCCTTCTATTTATACTAAAGAATTACTTAAAAAATGGTCCCGGTTCACACTAAATAATCTACTCTCTTTATTTTTAATATCCTGATTCATGTGAACATGTTTCCTAGTACACAACTTCATCTCACAAGCTTAACAAAATCCCTTCAAGTATTAAACGATTATTTGCTTCACCATTTCTTTAACAAGGAATTATGTTTGATGCTTGTTTGATTCTCTATTTAGAGAGGGATTATTCTCCAATCATATAAAAATATACATTGCAATTATTCTAGTCTTATAGAAATTATTCTTTTAGAGAAATGTTTTTTCTATTTTTATATTCTGAATTAAAGAAGTTAAAAGAAAAAATTTAAATTCATGTTCTGAATCAGTTGATTCTCCTACAAAATATAGAAAATAAGATAATTTTATCAAATATAATTCTGATCTTAAATTAAAATAAAATATATATTTTTTTCATTCACATTTTAAGCACTCTTTAAAAAATTGAGATCATACTTTTTCGTAAAAATATATTTTTATGTGTATTTTATTTTATTTTGGTCGGCTTTTTAAGTGTATTTTAGTATATATATATATAATGTTAAAAATATTAAATTATTTTTATCAAATCTTATCTAAATACAAAATTACTTTCACCCTACACTAGTTTTTCAATGAAATCAAATCTACAAAATTTAATACAAGTAGTCAAGCACACATCAATGACAATTTTCATTCAAACTAACATATTCTTATATTCCTATTCCCTTGTGCGTTCAACGGTAGCATCATTTCGGGTAAAATGTTACTGTTTTTAGAGTTTCACATAACAATATTGCGGGTCTATGAAGAACCATTGTGCCGTCTCTTTTCTTGGAATTAATTGGTGGCATCATTAATCTATACGGTTGTCTCATTCTATAATAAAATTCGACGAATGTTACCTGCATGCTTTAGGTTTAAACAAAGGATTATATTAATTATAACCACACAAAAAAAAGATTATATTAATTATAGATTATGACGCTCCAACTTCATTTTATTATCTTCTTCAATAAATTAATTGATACAGAAAAATAGAGAGGACTTTGACTTTAGAGGGTCTTTCATTAAGCTTGCTCATTTTCTAACCGGCCTCATAGAGATCAATTATTAAGTACGTCAAACATAACAATTTTTTTATAACGTGATTCACCTTTATTGTATCAAAGTTATTATTACTTTATCTTAGTTTTAAATGTATTTTGGTATTCCAAAAAAAATGTATTTTTTAAATATTAACGAATGTTAATTGAAGTCTGAAGACAAGATCGAATTAGTCAAGCGGCCAATCAAACTATACAACCATTTTGTTTCCAGCTTCATTTAAATCGATTTATTTAACCATCAAACTAAATTTAGGCTTTTTAAAAGTAATTATTTAATTAAATAGTTTAAATTTTAATTAAGCTTTCAAAAAATTTGTTGATATAATCTACCACTTAGATAAATTTTTAATTATAATTTTTAACGCTTGCACAATTTTAAACTATGTGCGTTGCAAACTTGCAATCCTCTATGTGGTAATTTTAATGATATAACCTACCACACAGACCCATCAGAGAAACACTAAGCTGCGCCGCAATCCTCTATGGCAGCTCCACTTCATGTAGCCTTGTGACATCAGACACCATATAATATTTTTACGCATTAATTTTAAAAAATATTTTAACACGTTAGGACACATTTTGGTATTATATAATTTTTAATTTATGTAGTGTATAATATATTTAATATTCAATAATTTAACAAAAAAATAAAGTTAAACTTATAATATTCATCAATTTTACAAAGAAACATAAGATATCCTAAATATTTATATTAAACTCAATAAGATAGTAATCATAATTTAACGAATTTAATAGTTGAAGCTCAAAATGCAACGCAACGTAATCTTTGAATCTTTTTTGAGTCTTTGCAACAAGTATTGGAGTGTCGAAAAATATCGCAATATCGATGAGTATCGAAAAGTGTCAAATACGACATATCAAAAATTCTGAAGAGTCGGTGCTTCATAAGTGTCACCTCCCCTTTTGCCAATATAGTGTCATTCCTCTACTTTGACATGCCCATTCCCATTCCTTGTGAACCACCGTGGGAGACAAAATCCAGCGAGTCTAGATCGCGCGTGGATACGGACATGCTTTTTTTGAAAAATTTGGGCGTCGAACACGTGTTCCACATGGACACGTTTCGACACGTATCCGACACGCAGTCAACATTTGAGGACACGTGATCAACTCTTCGACACATTTTGACACGCAGTCAATTTTTTTCGACACGCGATCAATGTTCCGACAATTTTTTTTTTAATCTTAATTTTTTTTATTAACTAAAAAATTAATTTATAAATTAATTTTTTTCTGTTATAAAATTCGACATGAAAAATTAACAAAGTAGAAAAAAAATTTATTTTTATTTATAGTATGAAATTTAAATATTTGATTGGTTATATGACTTATTATGGACTTTTAAATTTATTAAATATAAATTATATTATATATATATTAAAAAATTTATTTAATATCAAAACGTATCCCAACATATCGAAATATGATATTTTTTAAAATTAATATGTCGACGTATCGTGTCGTGTTTCGTATCAATGTCAATGTGTCGTAGTCTAAGACCCCAACAAGCTACCATGCAGCTTTAACCTCCTCTGTTCCTTAGCCTCAATGTCCATGACCACCTGAAGACTAGAGCATGCATCATGAATTTGCTTCTTGCCTTCCATTCTCCCTTTCACATGATTTGTTTTTTTTAATTGTTATTAATAATTTAGGTTAATGTTCTTTCATCTTTGGGCCTGCTAATATTTTGTCGCCTAGCTGCTTGTTTGCTAGGCATATGTTTGTTGCAATTTAATTTCAGTTGTAACTATAGTTTTGTTCTTTTTAGTTGGTTGGGCCTTTCCAATTTGAATTCATGTTTCCGAGCATGTTTCTTTTTATTAAAAATATAATAAAATGATATATTTTAAGAAAAACAAGCATACGAAATTTTGGATTAGGCAGAGATAAATAATATAAAAAAGGGATAAATAAAAAACAGTAAAAATAAAATAAAATAAAATACTTTGAACTTGTCACTTAAATTGATCGTTCTTTAGTTTAATTATTTGACTGAGGTCATTTATTTTCTTATTTGATTAATTTTAATTGTATTATTGATTTTATCTTTTTATAATTGATGCCGCTCAAACTTTAATAATAATAAAAAAGAAAAATCCCACACAAAAAAGAAGAAAATAAATAACATTTTGTTAATAATAAAAGAAGATAGCCTAAGTTTCGCTAAAATTATGATACTTATTAAAAGTTATAAGAGTTGCGCAATTTTATAATTCAAGAATTTTTAAAAATAATCTTTTTCTTAATAATAAAGATGATTAGTTATACTTACCAAAAAAAAATTGATTAGTTATAGGGGTGTTAACGGGCTGAGCCGAGCCGAACCGAACTTTGGACTTAAGAGGCTAAGTCTATATTTACACTTAATTAGTCCATTAATTCATTATTTAATTAAATTTTAAACATGAAATCCTAATTATAATTATTAGGGCAGATTTGACATGATAGTGTCATTAGGGTTCCAAAGCCATCCTTAATCAAGATTAGTGTTCTTAATTTAAAGAGTACTTTTTAATAATTTTTATTGGTTCCAATTATGATTTTCCACCAATTACCACATCAAGAACCCATTTTTACAAGAATCAAAACATCAACCCCACAATAAAGCATGATGGCCGAATGGTTTAGGTGGTGGTGGTGGGATTTTTGTCATCATTATTCCAAAGTTTCATGTTTACATCTTCAAATGAGCACCAATGCTTCAAGCTCCCATCTTTCTCAAGCAAGCATGCTCTCTTTCCACCAAGAACATACCTTTAAGAAAACTCAAGGTTAGAACACAAGAATACAACACAAAGGTTGTTGGGAAAACTCTGTTCCCTCAAGCTCGGCTAAGCAGCCTTAGTCCGGAAGTCAATCAACAAGATCCTGATCTCGGATCTCGGCAATACCTCGGCCTGAACTTCACCAGGTCGGGTAGCGCAGCGGAAAAATCAAAACGAAAACAGGAGAGAGAGAAGAAGAACACAACCAGAT